ATCTCAATTTTTGTCATGATCTCATTGGGAAGGGATGGCGATCTCAAGGAGAAATCACAGGTGTGCAATGCTCACAAGCGTCAACTATCTGCTAGGAGAAGGCTTTGGGAGTTGAAGAGAAGGGATTAGCCTGAGCCTTCTCTGGGGAGAGTGGGGTTTCAGAGACTGAGGGCATAGAGGACAGCAAGTTCGGGGGCTGCTATCTTTTTAAAAAGTTGTCTGTTTGAGAGGGAGGGAGGGAGGAAGAGGGAGAGGGAGATGGAAAGGGAGAGGGAGAGGTGGAGGGGCACTTCCATCTGCTGGTTCACTCCCCAAATGCTCACAACAGCCAGGTCCAGAAACTGAACGCAGATCTCCCAAGTGGGTACCAGGAGTCCAACCACTTGAGCCATCACCACTGCCACCAGGATCTGCATTAGCAGGAAGCTGGAGTCAGGAGCTAGAGCCAGATGTTGAACCTCATTCAATACTGGACTGTGCTGTGGGATGCGGATATCCTAATCGCTAAGCCAAATGCATGCTCTGGAGGCTAATCCTTTCATCTGCCCAATATTTAGAGGGGTGTCTTGAAGGCTGCAGGCTGAGCACCCAGCCCAGAGAGTAATAAGCAGGTTGTCCCAGTCTGGAGAGCAGAAAGCAGGCTCTCCTGGGGAGGAGCGTGAAGAGTGGGGTTCCCAGCCAGGCTGTGGCAGTTTGAAGTCAGGTTCACCTGAGTTTAAAAAGAAAGGTGACATTTCTTGCGCCTTAGCGACAGGAAGCAAGCTTCCGTGGCTCCATGGGTGTTGGGTGGAGACCCTGGGAATGGATGATATGCCCCGGGTTAGCCTTTGCATGTACCGTGGGAAAAGAAGAGTGCTAAGGGCCATCTCCTGGGGGCGCCATTGTAGAACTTAAGGCTGTGATGGAAGGCAAGCAGGGAGAGCGCCCAGTCATGGAAGTCATGGCCATTTCATGAAGTGGGGAGGACTCAGCTGTTCAAGGCTGTGGAAAGTTCCAGTAGGATGAGGACTCCCAGGCATGGCGACTGGAGATTCACTGATGTGATTGATGCACCGATGCATGGGAGGTAAGGCTGTGTGTCCCTCATAGCCTTGAACTGCCCCGACGCCCACAGCTAAGCTGTCAGAGGCCACCAGGGCAGGCAGGCACTACCTACTACTGGAGAATTCTTCTGGGGATAGGCAGCTGTCCTCCCTGGGACCTGAAGACACACCCAAACTCCTCCCTCCTAGCTCCCTTGTTTGGTGAAGCAGCATGGAGGTGAGGATCTGACCCTTTAGCTACAAATTCAATATTTGCTGAGGTCATGACACAGCAACCAGTGTGCCCTGCATTCCTGCACGCGTCACTCTTTAATCTCGCAACTGCACGTGGGATAGACACACCCATCTTACATACGAAGGAACAGGTAGGTTGCCTTGCCCAAGACCACATAGCCAAGTAAGTGGGAGAGCTGGAACGTATCCCTCCAGGTTCTTGGAGTCCAACTCCAACGCTCTCGTCACTGCAAAGGCGTACAAAGTGGGGATTCTTCAGAGTAGCTTCCTTTTTAGAGAAGAGAAGCCGCTGCCCTGGGACTTAGGGCTTGGACAGAGAAGGTTTCCTGTTGTGTCCACATCTCGTGAGTTGAGCTACGAGGACCAAAGACCAGGCTCTGCCCTCATCTATCTCAGAGTTCTCTTCCACCAAACACCCTGCCTGCATGGGTGGAACCACTGTAGGACTGGAACGGTGTTTACTTCCTGGGCTGGGCGGTAGCTTTGTCAAAGGACAGGAAGTCCCAGCCAGAGCAGAGGAGGTAGGGAATGGATGTCAGGTGCCTCCCAGAGGATGTGCCACCTCTGCCATATTGTTAGGTAGGAAGTCAGATATGAGCTTATGTGTGTGTGACGAAGGCTTAAAGAAAATACATCTATGTCCAGCATATGCATCTCAAAGTCATCCCGATAACATTTCAGGGGCAGCCCAGTATTCACATCCTGCCCTGCTCCCTCCTACCCAATAACCTGCCAGGTGGGGGTCCCCGCCCCTCCTGCCTGATAACCTTCCAGATGCAGCCCAGCATCTGCATTTCAAATACCCTGGTCCAGATCCCGATCCTCCAGGGGGTCTTGCTCACCCTTCCTCTAAACTCAGGACGGCGCCAGCTAGGCTTCCTCCTGTCTGATACCTTCAGGGGAAAACTCAGATAGGAGCATCTTAATATCTACATCCATAAAATCCTTTGTTTTAGGAGGAGATGTGTGAAGACAAAGACCCATCTCCTTAAAAACCCCACCCCGGCCTCAACCGGACTGCACGCTCAGCCCCCTGCCTCTCTGCCGAGCCGCCCGCCTGCCTGCCCAGGTGTGATCTCTCCACTCTACCATGTAACCTCGCTCCTCCTCCTCCCTCCCAGTCTGAGCGACTGGGCACTCTCCCTCAGGCTCTGTCTGGAGAGGTGCCCATCCATTCTTACGGATGTCCCTGCCCTAATAAACTTTGCTATTTTATTTTTCCACTACTCTGTCTCACGCCTGAATTCTTTCTTGCATGAAGACAAGAACCCTGCCATTTTCCGGTAACAATATCAGTCTAGAACCTGCAGGGAGCTGTGTGTGGGGTGGGGTGCAGTGGGATTCTCTTATGTCTCTGGAAGATATGGAAGAGTCCTGAGTGACAGTTTGCCATGGCCCCCTAGAAATTGTCCACTTGGGATGAGGTAGGGGAGGGGCTGGGGCCTCCTCCCACTCCTGATGCACGTGTCCAAGTTTCAAGAAACTGCCTGGCCACATTAGTCAGCTCTTCATCACAAAGTGCCTGGTGGGGGCTTCTTGGGGAGGAAGGAGATTTATTTCAACTTGTAGTTTTGGACTTCACAGTCCAAGGTTGGGGCCCATTAGCCTGGCATCTGCTGAGGGCAGAGCACGTGCCAGGGGAGGATCACGGGGTGGCCAGGAAGCGCGGAGAGAACACGTAGACCAAACTCAACTTATATGACCAACCCTCTCGCAAGAACCACCTTCTACAGGCATGCCCTAGACACCTAAACACCTCCTCCAGACCCACCTTCCAGACACCATAATTGGATCAAGTCTCCACTCTTAATCCATTAACCACCAGCTTTAACCCATTAGCCATTAACATCAGATTTGGGTTTTAAACATCTGCGTGAGTTGGCGCAGCTCCATCCTGTTCAAACCACAGCACCGAGCCAAGCCTCAGGTCGTGCGACACTCCGAGGGGTGGGCCCCGCCTTCCTGGTGGCGCTGTCCTTTCCTTCAAAGACACGCAGAGCCAGATGGCAGAGCTTGTGAGGTCACAGGAGGGAGGGATCTGCCCGCCGGTGGAAGCAGCCGTGCTCAGAGAGTATGAAGGGAGCTTTTACAATCCGACAGCTTGGATTCAAAGTCCAGCTCGTCCACTCGGTGGTTGGAGGGGCTGTTTTCATTGTTGGCCTTTGTCACCTCTTCTGTGCCCACGGCACAGGGTACACATCAGGTGTTCAGCAAGTGCCAGGCTCATGGTGAACACTCTAGAACATCGGAACTCTGCTGTGGTTATCACGATCATCATTATCATACTGAGAGCTCTCTGCATGCATCTCCCAATGTCCTCTCAATTGCCTCGGGACAAGGGCTAAGCAATCATGGGAAACAATGGCCCCTGGCAATCCAACCAAAGCCCGGAGGCAGCTGGATCCCCAGAGCCATCATCCACCCAACCCCAGCACACTCCCTTGCCTTCCCCCTCCCTCCCCCGGAAAATTCCATGGAAATTCAGTGGCCCACAGGGCTGGCAAAGCTGGGATCCAGGGACATAGGAGAATGTCACTGCACACCCCTCTCCACACACACAGCTCTGCAGATTTTGGACTGATCTGCAGAGCCCCCTCACGCCCTCCCCCATGATTTTTGTAGCTTCTATGTTCTGGGCCAAAGGAATGTGTTGGGTTTTGTTTTCTTCCCATCCAGCGCCTGCTTTTTCTCTACCTTATTTCCCTGCCTCCCACCCAAACACTCCTGCCAATCAAGTCATTGACCAAGAGAGGAGGGGAAGGGTCTGGTTTCTAGGGAGAAAGCAACAGAAGTGGCCAAAGTCCCGCCACTCTGCCCCAGGCCCGGCCTCTGCCGATGCAGCCGGCGTCCTGCGGTGGGCAGAGCTGCCTGGCAGTCTTGCTTGCTCAGTGCTCACTCCTGCATAGGAACAGCCCACGCTGGCACTCTAGTCCCGCAGCGGGCTAGGCTACTGGGATTGTGGGATCTATGACAGCAGGTAGGTGCTACCCCAACTGGGAAGCCACCTCCCCTACTCTTTCTTGTGCAACTGGCCGAGGAAAGAATCAGAGGAAGGATTTGCTCTGGCATGGATGTGAGAGGCCAAAACAAACTCGAGGTGCCCAAAGGCCAGACCTGGAGAATTCTAAGCTTGCAGCTGGAGGTGTAAGTGTGAGTGCTGGCGCTGCTGAGAGCTGGACATTCACTGGTGGATCATACGGCCGGGGTCAAGGACAGCAAGTGCAGAGCAAGAAGGGGGAGATCTTTCAGAAGAGGGCAACAGCTCCGCCCACCCACTCCCTTGGAAACAGCTGTGCAGCACTGGGGCTTCCTTGTAGACAGGCCTTTTGCTGAGCCAGCAAAGGCAGAGGTGGGAGAGAGGAAGGAGCGGCCTGCCAGGCCCGCCCTGTGCTTTGCGAAGGCTCACATAAGTCTCATTTCAAACCTCGCCTCTGCTGCGAAGCCTTCCGTGGCCTCTCTAGGCGTGGCTGCTTTGTTCCAGGTTCCACTCAGAGCATCCACACTGAATCAGCTTCCATCACTCTTGGTCATGAGCCAGTTCCTTGAGGACACCATTGTGCTCTATGTACCCCCGGAACCTAGCGCGAGTACCCGGCCTAGAGAGGGCCCTGATGTGGCTGGAGAACAAATGATGCAGAGAGCACACCCCAACTCAGAGCCTGGGCTGGTGGCAGGAAAGCTCTACGTCCCACCAAAGGCACCAGTAAAACACCCGACCACAGGTTCTTCAGGTCCCACAATTTTATTGCAGAAGACCATTACTGGGGGACTGTCGCGACATGAGTGTTGCCCCCTCCCTGGCCTTGGTGACAATCGTCAATGTTCCCAGTCCCATCTGAGGCAGTGCCTGAGCCCAGACACCCACAGAGAGGGAGTAGAGTGGGGCTAGGGAGGTATGGGCACCCCCGGACAAAAGGCCAGGAAGGTGCCCACCCTCCGTGGCGAGGAGGCCAGCCACACTGACGGCTGGCGGGAGGAGCACTGACTCTGAGCCTCAGTGCTCAGCTTTCTCTCCACGGCAGGGGCCATGGCAGGGTCATGTTTCTGGAATAGCTAAGAAAGCGTAAGACGGAGAAAGCTGAGAGAGACCCCCATGTCCCAGGATGGCCCCGGGCACGAGGGAGCTGTCCACCTGGACTTCCCGGGGCTCCTGGGGGCCTGCACAGGAGCAGCCTGCAGCCCTGGCATGCAGAAGAGCCGCTCTCCCTGGGCTGGGTCTGCCGGCCGCCCAGACGCGGGTTTGCTTCCCCGAGTGTCTCACAGAGGCCGACTTTGGCTCTCCAGCAGGGGGACTCCTCTAGTCCCTTCAGCCCGCTCCTCGAAGCCAGCAACATTTTGTAGGGCTGCGGAAGGGCACAAGTCGTATGAGTCCCATAGAGTTCTTGGGGCGACTGATTTTGGAGACGCTTCAAAAATACATGTTTGCATTTCTTAAATATAAAAATAAAATAAACCCTGTGCCAGCAGTTTGTGACCAAACAGGTACCATGGGCCCTGTTCACGGTTGACAGCGTGGTGGGCCACAGCGCCGCCTGGCTCTGGACCACGGCTGGGCGGGGGCGCTGTGCTCACAACACTGAGGGCCTCCTGCTAAGCACAGTCCAGGCACCATGAAGCCGGCGCTCCAACAAAGCCCCTCATCTGTTCTGGGACAGCAACAGTGTCACCAGCGCTGCAGGGGTGATGCCCACTCTGGGCTGGCCCCTTAGTCAGGGTCAGAGGAGCAGGAACTGCCGATGTCACCTTCCGGCCCTTCTCTGGACTCTCTGTTTGTCTGTGGACACTTCTGTGGGAACATCATGGTACCCAGACCCTCATCTGCAGAAAATGCCTGGGATTCTGGGGGGAGCAACAGCTCTCCCGGTTCCTGTAGAACTTGGAAGAGCAGCAACACACACATGTGCACACACTCGCACTCAGACTTGCTCACACTCACACACAGCAGCACATGGTGGAGGGGGGAGTAACGCAGGTGTCCAGAAGACGTTGCAAATGGCCAGGGCCCTTGGGCCGGAGTCTTCCCAGCAGCCAGTGCTGTGAGTAGGGGGGTGGCGGGCAGGACACTGGTTAGGATTTCCGGAAGCGCGTCTCACTCTAGGAGGAAAACAAACAGGAGAGCGTGGTGAGGGTGGGCTGACTGACAGGGAACACAGAAGCCAGCAGGAGGCCCCCGCCTCTGCCCAGCCCAGCTGTCTGCCGGCGCCGCCCCTCTGAGAGGAAGCAGCATCGCGAGAGCCCCGCTGCACTCAGCTTGGCTTCCAGCTGCAGCCCCCTCAGAGCTCCGCCCTGTTCTGCCCTCACCACAGGCAGAGGAGGGAAGGGCTGGGCATCGCACTCCCTGCTTCACAGCTGAGATGAGCAGGGGTGGAGCTGGGTCAGCCAGCTGGGGGCAAATCCCGTTTCCAAGGCTGCTCTTCCTGCCCAGGAGGGAGGCCTCCTGGCATAGTCCATCCTCGGTGGCTGGGGAGGGGACAGTGGTGGGGGCTGGCATCAGTCTCAGCTCACCCTTTGGCCACCCTCTGAGCTCTGCTCGGAGGGAAAGACAGACAGCAGACCCAACACTTGACCCTGCTCAGAACACCTCTGCCTGTACCCCTGGGAAGGCCTGGGCCCCCTTTTGGGGTCCTTGTTTCTAGGGATGCCCAGGCTGCCTGGCACAGTAGCCCTGTGTTAGGCCCTCACCTCCATCTTGCTGTAAATCCAGGAGAGGGCTTCTGTCACTTTGGTGTACACACCGGGCTTGTTTCTCTGGCCACAGCCTGTGCCCCAACTGGTGACACCTGCCAGGTACCAGCGGTTGTTTTGCTGGCAGACAAGAGGCCCCCCGCTGTCTCCCTGTAAGGGGAGGGAGCACATCAGCTGGGGTGGACACAGGTAAACTCTGGACTGGGAAGGGTGTGACCCCGGTCCACACATCAACCCCAGCATGCCAGCCTTCTCCCATCCCCAGCAGCCTCACCTGGCAGGAGTCTCTGCCCCCACGCAGGTCCCCAGCGCACATCATCCTCGGGGTGAGGTAGCTGTCGTAGACCAGGTAGTCATTGCACTTCCTGAAGTCGATGAGGTTGACCTGCACCTCCCGGAGGAACGGGGATGTCTTCTCTTCAGTGCGGTGGGAGTGGGGGAGAGGGGGCGGGAAGCTGATGAGACTCTGGACCTCCAGCTGCCCCTCCAGGACCGGGGCTCAGCATCCTGGGAGCAGAGGGCATCCTGCCTGTGGCCTCAGCCCAAGGAGGCCCTGTGTGGTTGGACACCAGGACACATGGACACTCACCCCTGTGCCAGACAACTCACTGTGCATCAAACAGAGCCACACACGAGCACACACTTGCAGAGCTCCCCGGCTCCCTGACAGGTGGCACCATGCCCGCATACATTCAGAGCACCATAGTGGCCAGCACTTCACTGGTTTTCAGATGCCAGGTGTCCTACAGAGGGTGGGGCTTATCGGTCCACTCACAGGTGGGGAAACCTGGTGCTGAAGAAGTGCCTTGCCTGCAGCCGAGTGGCTGGGCTCTCATGGAAGCCGGATCGGAAGAGGGCTGTGTCCACCCCATCACCCAGAGCCAGAGAAAAGCAGCCCTGTACCCCGCGACCAGCCTGAGTCCCCGGCGGAACATGATGGCTCTTACAGAACCGACAGCCCACAGAGTACCCTGTGACCCTGATGAAGCCAGGAAAAGTGGCAGCCTTTTCAAACAGGGTCGCAAGGCTCAACTCAGAAACACCCCATGTTTCCTCTCACTGCCACCCCATGGGCCTGCTTCTAGGTGAGCAATCACAACTTGGGAGCCCTCCCTCCTTCTAGAAAAGAGGGCTCAGATTCCCCATTAAACAGTTGCCCGGATTCGTGACAACATCCAGTCTAGAGAAAAGCCCCACATCTCCCCAAGTCCCCCAATGCTGTGATGAACCCTCCGAGCACCTTATCTAGACAGTCCAGGCTCTCCGCAGTGGGTTCCCCCTCCCCCACGCTGCAGCGAGCCTCAGACCCAACTTGTGCACCTGCAGAGGTCCTCCAGGTGGTCTTGCCTAGAGGGCACTGTTACTCCAACTGCGCTGACAAGACACACGGGAGTTGATCCACACACATTTGTAGGCAGCCCATGAATTTATCCACCCAAACCCCTACCTACATAGACTTCATCTGTGTACCCGTCGTCCTTGACATGTACACACATGCACGCACACGCACGCACACACACAGCGCAGCACCTCTGCTCTCACCGTCTGTCTCCTTGGTCTTGCCAAAGCCTGTGATCCAGCAGGTCTCATTGAGACTGAAGGTCTGTCCATGCATGGGGAGGCAGGCAGGGTGGACGTGAGCTGCCGTGAGAGGTCCAGATGTCAGTGAAGGACAAGGCTGGAGGGATTCGGGCGACGGGGCATGGGGGAGCAAGCGTGTTGATGTCCTAGGAGCCCTTCTTGCCACCAGAGTGGCTCTGAATCTTCCAGGTCCTTGTCTCCACCAGGCAAGTAACCCTAACCCTAACCTAAACCCATCACCTTATCTTAACCACCCAGTCAGATTTCCAGAACCATGCTGATCTGAGTCGCTGCCGGGCGGGCACACACAGAGGCTTGGTAGCTCCCTCACGCCAAGCAAACACCTGACCACTGCAGGTCTCTCCCCACAAGCTCGGCTCTCCTGGCTGGGCCTCCTCCATGCCTTTCCCTTGGAGCAAAGAACAGCATCACACTAAGTCCTGGATGCTGACCGTGGCCTCTCAGCCAGGCAACCTGCTGGCTGGCCAGGGTCCGGGGCTCTCCCTGCAAATGTTCACCTGGATCGGGTCCAGATACCTCCTAAGCAGGAGGGCACAGCCCTAGGCCAAGACCACAAAAGCACAGGGAAGTTGCTCTCACACCCAGAAACACTGAGACGGGGACCTCGAGGACCAGCTCATAAACTCTCCCCAGGGAGCGGTGTCCCTGGATGGGTCATCGTGGACCACCAGACTCCCGTCTGGAAAAGGCAAACGCTGACAGGCCGCTTGCTGCTCCCTCAACTGTTCATTACTGCAGCGTCCTGCTCCTAGAATAGCATCTGGCTCCGTGAACACGGAGAGAGAGGGAAGGAGGGAGGGAGGGAGAGAGACAGACAGAGGGAGAGAAAGAGAGAGAGGAAGAGAGGGGGAGAGATACAGAGAGAGAGAGGGAGAGATAGAGAGAGAGAGGGAGAGATACAGAGAGAGAGAGGGAGAGATACAGAGAGAGGGAGAGGGAGAGATACAGAGAGAGAGAGGAAGAGAAGGCACAGGGAGGGAAGAATGCTAAATTCTTTTATAAACTGGGTTTTAAAGGTTGACATCTATGTTTCTATGTTTTGTCTGCTAGAGAATAAACAAAACATAAACAAAGGGATAAAATCCATTATTCACAAAAAAGGCAAAACTCGATTTCTAGTCTACATCCTTTTTTGAGATGCAGTCTTCAAACCACGTACCACCACTAAGCATTCTGTTGTATTTCACTCACTTGTGTGGGGAATTAAATTTATCAGTGAGTTTTCACACATTTTCCCAGAAAGTGCTGTGACTTCCAGGTGCTAGGCCTGCCACATGAGTTATAGAAAGTCTGCCCTGATTTCTGAACCAAAAGCCAGGGCACATGGTCTGACACGAATCGGAGCTGTGCTTCTGGAATGAACGGTCTGCTTCCAGCCTGGGGCGGGACTGACAGCCCTAAAAGGCATTTGCAATGTAATGATAGCTTTCGCTTGGTTTCAGAAATTACTTTGTTTTTAGAGTTCCAAATGATATTGAGGGTCTTGGCAGTGGGTAAGAGGTAGGATCTGGGTGTTTAGCCACAAGGAATGTGGGTTTACAAGACTGAGACCGACTGTCCTCCTGTAGTTGGGCCAGAGCTTGAGTGGGGGACTCCTCACCTCGCAGCCCCAGCTCTGCAGACCAGGCTGGAGGGTGTGGCTGCCCGGGGGGTGTGGCCTGCCCTGCCCAGGCCCTGCTCTGCAGAGGATCCTCCTCCTCACCCCACTCTGATGAGCTCACCATTGTGACTCATGGCAGCACCGCCTGGGTAATGAATGTGCCAGGAAACACCAGCTCACA